TAACCTGGATTGTTGTTTCGTTCCCGGTGATTTCTTTGCCCAGGCTAACACATCAACTTTGCGCGGGCATCCCCTTAAACTAGCCACGGCAAAGCAAGAATCGACGGACGAAAATTCTTCTTTACCAACAGAGTAGTTTCAGCGTGGAATGCCCTTCCCGAAGAGGTTGTCCTCTCCATTTCTGTTAATTCATTTAAGAGTAGACTGGACATGTATCAAGCACAAATACAAACCATGTAAAAACTACTGCAGCACATGATACTGACCCACACTTATTGCATCACATGCAATGCATCAAATTATACTACTCGCGATTTGCGAGTAGTCATATATTTTTCTGTCATATTTTTCTAAGATTTGACTCTGGTGTCTTCCCGGAACATGTAATTGACGTAAATTTTACATTTTTCTTTGTATCCATTTATTCCCTATCATTTTGTTACCAACAGGGAGTTCAAAGGCGTTCGCCTATCATTCCCTCAATAAACTGATACTGATATGTAATATATGAAATTACGAAAATATCTTCCCAACACTTTCAGCAAAAAATGCCCTCCATTCACAACACCGAGGAATCAAAAGTAGTTCAATGACTGCAATTTTCGACGTCGTGGATAAATGTTCCTGGAGGGGTCCTCAAATATAGGCCAATATATAGACTGGTTTCAAAACGGCGCTAGCGTCGTGACCTCGTGCACTCATGGTTCAAATCAACAAAGAGGACTACAAATCGGTTTATAATGGGGCGAAGTAGGCTAACCGACGCATATATAAGCCCTCCGCCCACGCTTAATTACAGTCTAAGTATTCAGACTAGGCGCTAAGTCGTGATGTAAATGGGAGGAGTGTGTGAGATAAAGACACGCCCACAATTGACCCATGACTTGCTCGCGGATGTGTTTACCATGCGTCAGACTTTCTGTGTATCTACCTCACTCTCGTCACACTCACCGTATTCTAGGCGCAAAATCAACGGTAGACTTTGCTCAAACCTACAGATAACGCTGATACCTATCATTTGACGTAGGTAATACCTGATTCTTCCGGATAACTGTACTTAAATCTTAATTGCGAAAATAATTTGTCTTTATGAGGATGTTATTGTCTATTTTATAGTAATATACAAATATATATATATTAACTCAAATGTTGGTGTATACTGCTTGTATGTATTCTGTCGCCTATGTCTGTCTATATCCTCTCCTTTTTCCCTCGATCCCTCTTTCCTACCGTAGCGCCGACACCAGTATAGAGTTCATTGACGCCAACGAGTGTCAGTCCTTGGCCAAGGTTGAACACCCCATGGCCAGCGAACTGCACTGGGACACTACTGGACGCTACCTGGCCTCCGTTGTGAGCAACTTCACTCAGAAGTCAGACAACGCTGTCTGGTTCTGGAGCGCCATTGGACGACCGCTGCATCAGCTGCCTGTCACGGGCCTGCGCCAATTTGCTTGGCGACCTTTCCCACCCACTCTCCTCTCTGCCGAACAGATTCAGGCATGTACTCCACCACTTCCTTGGTTCTGTTTTCGTTTCAAATCTCTCAATCTGCCTGCGAACCCTCACGAGTGTAGG